TGCACGTATTGGCTTTGTGGGAGCCTAGGCAGTTTGGATGCTCACCTTACGAGACCTGGATGGAGGAGGGTGGTCCTTGGACTTCCCACAGGGCAGAGAACCCTGATTGCTCTTTGGGCTGACGAGGGAGGGGGACTTGATTGGGGGAGGGGGTGGGAAAGGGGAGGCGGAGGTGGGGAAGAGACAGAAATCTTTAATACATTAAAAAAAAGTGTACAATGACAGATTTTTTTTTTAAAAAAGGCAGTATATGCATACAATTATTTAACCATAAACAACAACAACAACAAAACAAATCTAAGCAATATGGAACCAAAGGCACTGTTGAGTAAAATAAGCCAGGTACAGAGAGACAAATGCCGCATATCTGTATGCGGAAGCTATAAAAGTTGATCTAGCAGAAGCAGAAGGCAGATATTGGTAACAGGACAGAAAAACCAAGAGGAGACATCAAGGTTAGATAACTCCACAGCACAGTGTGCACTTAAGAGTTAACAATAATGTATTTCATATATTACAAGGAACCACACGGGGAGTGTAAATATAATCTTATACAAAGAAACGATTAACATTTAAGAAAAGAAAATGGCAATCACCAGAGTTGATCATTACATATCGCTGCATCCAATTATATTATACTCCACAGATACACCATTTGAAAAAAAATTTAGTCCTAGCACTCAGAAGAAAGAGGCAGGGAGTTCTCTGTTGAGTTCAAGTACATATCAAGTTCCAAGCCAGCCAAGGTTACAGGTAAAACATTGTCTCAAAAACAAAAAACCAAACCAACCAACCAAACGATTTAAAAAGGAGCAATGGCTTCCTTTAAGCAGCCTTCTTTCTACTGTAGCCTAACATCACAGGTCACAGAGAGCAGGGAAGGGCCCAGAAACACCAACAGTGCTACAATCTGGATGGGGGCTGACTATAGGGTATTTCCTGTAGGAAGTGGCCAGGTGGAACAGCACTCCCAGGTGGGGGGTAGGACCTCAGCTAGAAGGCCAAGACAGGCCCACATTCTGGTAGGAGCAGGGCCGACTTTCCAGCAGTGGGTAGGCGGGCGGAGTCATCTGTAGGCAGCACTGTGCTGGCAGTCTGGGTGCTGTGGGGCCCCTCGCTGTGCACAGCACTTTATCAGGAGGAGCACTGCTGCACATCTAGACTATGTTCGGAGCACGTCTGGGACATTGTCCAGCCACCGCGGGGTACTCAGAGATACTTCCTGCTCTCTTTAGGTTTTAGAATTCTTCTGTTTTCTGAGGTTCTCGGCTCCCTGGATGACTGATTCTAGCTTCTAAGAACAGGAGTTAGCGGATTTTAAAAGTACGGAGCCAAGCTTGGGTCTGTGTCCTCTGAACGGGAAGCGGCTGGCCTCACAGCACTGCAATCATGGATGCATGCAAAACCAGACTGGGTAGGGGCCCCCGGGGGCCAGGGAGCTCTCCCTGTCCAGCTGCTGCTCAGGCCAAGAACTCTGGGTATAGTTAGGCCTGAACCAAGCAGGGGTTAAAGGGAGCAGCTAAAGTAGGCCTCAGGGGAACACCCATACTGAATGCTAGGGTCATTAAGAACCTAACTATGCAGTGTCTTACTGTGGGTAGCTATGGGGCCACTGGTGGAAGGCAGAGGACAGGAGACAGTGGCATGGTACTCAACAAAACTGTTTGGGTCTTGAATAACTTCTTTGAGATCCTGTCAGAACAATTCATAATCATCAGGCAAGGGCAGGTCCCTATTGAGGAAGGCCAGGCCTGTCAGTCAAGTATGGCTCTCACAGATACAGTTGAGACTGTCCTGATAGTGTTCAAAGTGAAAGACATATACTCTCCCAGCTGGGCCAAAAAAGCAGTCTAGCAGCCATTGACAGCCATCAAAGGTACCAGGTTGGAGCCAGGAACCCAGTGGAAGTCCATCCTGAGTGGCCAGGGGTCACAGGCCAGCATCCAGTTGGAGGTTTACTGCCAGAAGATCATTAGCTGTACTATTCCAATCCATGGTGGTGTACACACACATGGAGTTCCCACAGCAGGGTCTCTCAATCCAGGAATCCACCAAAGGGTCATGCCATGAGGTACCATCCGTCTGCTGCCAACAGTGTGCACTGGTGAAACTGGCTGCCATCTGGGTAGGATTACTAGGGCTCTGCCAATGGCACCTGTCATGAGGCATGCCAGGAGTAGAGGGAAGAAGGGCCCACTCAGAGCCTGGTGCAGACAGAAGAGGCAGGGACAACACAACGGGTCAAGAAGCAGCTGGACAGGGTGTGGCAGACTGCCATTCCAGGGAAATGCTGAGGACCAGGGGAGCTGAGCCGGTAAGAGTCGAGGGACTGTCAGATGCAGGCCATCATCCAAGGAAATCTGTCCAAAAACAAGGTGGGGAAGAGCAGGAACAAGGCCCAACCATCATCACTGAGCTGGCAGGGCGGCATCAGGCAGAAAACCCCCAGGGACCTGATTAGCTGCTCAGAGTAGGAGGGGCCCAGGTGCTGGCCTGCGAGGGTGAACGAAACAACAAATGCTGCCTGTGACTTTAAAGGTGCAGTGATAGACACTGTCAACTCTAGAAGGGGCCACATCAGACCATCAGGGAATATTAGTGCAATGACAGTAGCAACTATCATTTGTGTGTATCACAGTACCACTTGTGCTGAACGCTGACCACCTACTACCCACGACTGGATACTATTATCATAGCTACGAAAGAGTGGCCAAGTGATTTGTGTGCAGCCACACACGAGTTAATAAATGGCAGAGAGGAGAACCTGGCCGTAGAGAAAAACTTAACCACAAATCATTTCACAGGGTATGGACTACCCTTTAGAGTGGAATGAGTGGGCTCCTGGCTGCTGGAACATTATAAACCGCTAAGAACGGAGCATGCCAAAACATCCTTGCACACCCAGCACCACACACACTTGACAAAAACAGGCTGCCTTGCTTGGACTGTTTTGTCCTGCTCCCAGGATTCCAGAGAGCACCTGCAGGCAAATCTACCCAATTCTGAGCACACCTCCCTCACCCTCATCCCAGTCAAGAACTTGGCACTACAACCCCCACAGGTGAAACTCTGCAATTCCAATTTGGAGTTTCTTCCTGTTACCACCAGCACCTGGCCAGAGCTCCCTTTGATGGTTGGACCCACCCTTATTCCAAGTTGTGGTCACAAGACCACACAAGGAAGGAGGACAAGGAGCCCCCTTCTGGGGCTCTCACACTGCTCCAGTCTCTCTGGAGGGAAATCCACTACCTGGGACCTCTCTCAACTCTTTGCTTCCATCCCTGCACACACAGCCCAGCTCTCCACAAGCTCTCCAGGACCACCGAGTCCAGCATGTATCTTTACACCTGGCTTTCCATGTGTTTACCCCCTGCCCAGTCACTTTCTCCAGAAAGGTACAGCAAGGTTGATCTTGGTGCCAGCACCTCCCAAGGGGCTTACAACACTTGGCTGCCAGTACTGCCAGCACCTACCTCTAGCACCCAAGCATTCTGGACCATCCCATGCAGACCCCTGACTCACACCTCAAAGTCCAGCCCTTGACCTGGGATTCTTATCAAAATCACCAGCCAGATCCAGTCTCTCAGTGAGTTCTCAAGAAGTAATGCCCCATAAGTCAGGTCCCAGTCCCCAAAGCTGCCCACGAACACCATTTCGCATGCCCAGAAGCCAGTGTGCCACCCAGACCTCCCGCCCCAACTATGAACCTTAGATGTTGTCTGCCCACTCATCTTGGTGCCTGAGTGCCTCTGGCAACCTAGGAGAGAGGCGCCCCCACCCTTGCACAGACATCAATTCCTGCTTTCAGTTAGGTCTTCCTAACCCTGAGCCAGTCACTCACTTGCTGAGCTCAAGATCCCCCGCACGACCCTTGCCTAGCAGTCTATGGAACTCTCCCTCTTCTCTCCATCAACCCTGCCTGGCAGTAGGTAGTAATCTCGCTCCTCTTCCTGGACTGGACAGCAATCTACTAGAAGACTGAGGGCCGCGGCGCGTGGGAATCTTTCTCCGCAAGCTGGGCAGCACCTGACAAAACTGGCTGAGTTCTTTGCTCCAAGACCTGGGAAACCCGGGAACACAACTTGTCCAAAGCCAAAATGTGAATGGAGGCTAGACTACCTGCACCGCCCACCTGCCCGTCAGCAACCGCCTTGCAGGGCATCCAGCTCACAAGCTCCGGGTCAAGGAAGCCCACCTACCTGAGACCGCCAGGGTCAGAGGATCTGCACCGGCCAGAGCGGCGTGCTTCCGAGGCCAAGATCCCACAGCCACCTGCAAAGTGAAGAGCCTGAGAGAGATCAGGGGAGCGGGGCGTGAGTCCTCGGGACAGAGCCCACACCTCAGCCCGCCGCCCCACTTCGCGCTGACCCAGCCCCACTAACCCGGATGCCGAGATCGTAGCCTGCCGCAGCCGGCTCCAAGGATTCCGCAGAGCTCCTCGTCAGCCACGCCCCCCTCCGGCGTGCACACAGCCACCCCGGACGCGCCCACACTGAAACCCCGCACGCCTCACGCTCGCCTTCCCGCGGGGCTGCGCGCGCACGCAAGGCTCGCCGCGCCTGCGCCAGGAAGCGCGAGGCCTCTCCCTTGCAGACGTCCGACCGTGCCAGCGCGACAGCGCGGCGCGGGGGGTGATGGGAGCGCGCGCTTGGTACCACGCCCCCAGGAGCAGAGGCGGGGCTGCTGCGTTCACAGTCTTTGCTGTCAACTGGAGGCTTCTCTGCGCCAGCGTGGGTCGCGAGGGCTACTGAGTGGCTTCTGAGCCTGCAGACCTGGGGAGCGCATCTTCTGAGTGGCAGGTCTACACAGTACCTCTCATCGCCTGGTGCCCATGCTCAGAGCCTGAGAAGGCCCCGTGTCTGCATTTTTTCCACCCCAGCCGCGAGAGGCAGAGCATGCTGGCAGCACATCCCTCCACTTGGAATCATAGCAGCTGCAGGCTGTGTGACTTTCCTCGTCTCGTGGGTGTGTGTCTGAACCTAGAGAGGACGGTGAGGGCAGGCTGCCAACGCCTCTTGGACAGGGCAGTGCCTAGCCTAGTGTGCTGCCCAGCGTTGGGGAGCCCAGTCGGCACCCAGACACTTTAGAAAGACCGGGAGATGAGCTTTTGTGCCCCTCGTATGCATATGAGGGTTTGTCCCTCTTGCTCCTTTGTGTACTCGTGATGCCATCCCACAACCCAGACACATGTGTTTAGATGGTCCACCGACCAGTCCTTGGACGGGACTGGAAGGCTCTGCTGCACGGTAATACTCCTGTAAGCAAGCACATGCATAACACACCAGCTCCCTGTCTGCCCTGCTCTGGTGACTCCTTTCCTGAAAGATCTCTGAAATGTTATCTGCGTTTACACCCAAACTCACTTGCTTTGATCCCTGAAACGGGAATCAAAGATCACATTGTACCTTCCAAGGGTCTGTGGGGCTTTCAGTAGCCTGAGCCAAAAATAATAAAAGTGGCACCCAACCAGGAAACACCTCCTTGAAGTGTGAATGAAATTTGGGTTTTTTTTTTTTCGGTTGTATCTTTCCTAATTGACCTGATAATTTAAACTTCCTCCCTTAAGGGAGGGGTTGTTTCTGTGAATTCCGATCACCCTCAGGCCCCAAGCAGCTGGAGCTAACTCGGGACTCAACAACAGAGTGAGCAGCAGGCTTGTAGTACAAAAGACAACACAACCAAGCCCCTCCTACATAGGCCTTTTTCCAAACTGCCTTTTAGTTTGATGTTAGGGCATCACTTCAAATGTGCATGACAAGGTGTGTCACGGTAACCACAGCAGTAGTGTTACTATTCACAGGGCAGTGCAGTCATCACCACCGTTCCCAGAGCCATCTCACACACTAGAAACTCGGTTAAACAGAATCCTCATCTCCGAACCCTGAGCGCCCACCACTGTGAGTCTGAATTTGCCTGTGTACCCCACACACCCGGTGCTCACACAATGTCCATCTGTGAATGTATTTCATTTAGTATGTTTTCAAGGTTCATCGATGCCATAGCATGTGTCTAAGTCGCCTTCCTTTTCAGTGCTGACTGAGGGACTGGGGAGCTGGCTCAGATATTAAGACACTAACTGTTCTTGTATAGGACCTTGGCTTGTTTACTAGCACCCACATTATGGCTCACAACCATCCCTAACTCCAGTTGCAGGGTATCTGACAACCTTTCCTAGTTTCTTCGGCACCAGGCACATACATGGCTGACATACATACATGCAGGCAACACTCTTACATATGAAAATAAACTATTTTTTTAATTAACTTTAATCCCAGCATTCAGGAGGCAGAGACAGGTAGATCTCTGTGTGTTTCAGGCCAGCCTGGTCTATATAGTCAGACCCTATCTCAAAAACATCCAAAAATAAAATTAAAGTGACTGATTCCTCTTTTGCGTGTCCATATTTGTTTCCCTTTCATCCCTCTTGACACTGAATTGCCCACACCTTGGGCATTGTGGGTAATGGTGCTGTGAAGTCACTATGTCCTAGTCAGGGTTTCTATAGCTCCGATGAGACAGCATGACCAAAAAGCAACTTGGGGAAGAAAGGGTTTATTTGACTTATACTTCCAAAGCACTGATCATCATTGAAGGAAGTCAGGACAGGAACTCAAACAGGACAGGAACCTGGAGGCAGGAGTTGATGCAGAGGCCATGGAGGGGTGTTGCTTACTGGCTTGCTCCCCATGGCTTGCTCAGCCTGCTTTTTTACAGAAACCAGGACCATCAGCCAGGCATCACCCACCATAGACTGGGCATTCCTCCATAGATCAATAATTAAGAAAGTGCCCTACAGCCTGATCTTATGGAGGCATTTTTTTCAATTGGTTCCTTCTTTTCAGATAACTCTAGCTTATATCAAGTTGACATAAAACTGTCAGGACACACTGTAAAAGATGGATGAGTCCCTGGTTTTAGTTTTTAAAAATGCATGTGTTATGAATGCTTTATGTGCCTTTATGCCTGCATGATATGCATGCCTGGTACCCTCAGAGGATAGAAGTGGGTGCTGGATCCCTGGAATTGATTTACAGGTGGCTGTGAGCTGCCATGTGGGTGCTAGGAACTGAACCCAGGTCCCCTAGGAGAGCAGCGAGTGCTCTAAGGCAATGAGTTCTCTCTCCAGCCCCTAATTTTAATTCTTCAGCTATACACCAAAAAAGAGTAGAACTGCTAAGTCTTCCAGTAAGTTTGCTTTGTTTTATGATAAACTGCCAGTGTTCCAAGATAGCTGCATCATCTTCTATTGCCATCAGAAGCATACAAGAGTTCCAGTTCCTCCACAACCTGCCAAAAAGCACTTTTGCTCTCAGCTTGGTATGTGAATACTCAGTTTCCCAGAACTATCTAGTAGAGAGATTGTCCTTTCTCTGTCTTGACACTTTTGTTAAACGTTATTTGGTGCTTTGGACCATTGGCCTCTTGGCTGCTGCACCTAGTTCCCCTCTCTCCTCTCCCTCCCCTTCCTGTCTCCCCATATGGTCCAGCTCAGCCTGGTCATGTCCACTCCCCTGCTTCTGACTATGCTCTCACATACCTAAAATAAACTCCTTCAACATAAAAAAAAAAGTCATTTGGCGGGGCTGCAGAGATGGCAGCTCACAACTGGCTGCAACTCTAGTTCCCAGGGATTCAATACCTCTGGTCTCCAAAGGCAGTGCATGCATGTGTTATACACACACACATGTATGTATGTATGTATATATACATATATATATATTCAGGCAAAATAGCCATACTCATAAAATCTTTTTTAGGAAGTTATTTGATACTGCATGTAGCTTATAAATATTGCATGAGCACCAGTGATTCTAAATATGTGTGTGTTTCTTTTCTTTTTTCAGTTTTTTTGAGACAGGTTTCACTATGTAGCCTTGGCTATCCTGGAACTTGCTCTGTAGGTCAGACTAGACTCGAACTCACAGACATCTGCCTGCCTCTGGTTCCCATGTGCTGGGATCAAAGGTGAGCACCACCATCGCCCAGCTGTGTTTATCTACAGGGTTTTCTGTTATTTTCCACTGGTCTATATATCAGATTTAATGCCAGTACCACACTGTTTTGATTACTGTCGCTTTGTAGTTAAATTTGAAAACAGGAAGTATGAGGCCTTCATGTTGGCTTTTTATTGGGGGGGGGGGCTAGTAAGGGCCCCTTGAAACTCTATGTGAATTTTAGGGTCTCTCTCCCTCCCTTCTTCCCTCTCTCCTCCTCTTATTCTCTTTCTTACTGAGGTAGTCTCACTCTGTAGCTGAACTATCTCACTCCTTCACTCCTTCACTGAATATTTTCTGTCACCCCTCGTTGAATGTGTCAATGCTGAGTTCACAGATGTAGAAGACTGTAGGAATCTGCACATCAACCTATATTGCGTATCACACATTTTTTGAAATCCTGCTGTCTCAGTTTCTCTCGCAAGTGCTGGGGTTACAGGCATGTACCACCATGCCCTGTTTAGGGTAGATTTTTCTATTTTTCTGAAATGCCATTGAAGTATTACTGCTTAAGTCTTTAGATCACTTAGGGTATATTGATGTTTTCAAATGTTGGGCTGGAGTCAGGCGGTGGTGACACACACCTTTAATCCCAGCACTTGGGAGGCAGAGGCAGAGGCAGGTGGATTTCTGTAAGTTTGAGGCCAGCCTGGTCTACAAGAGCTAGTTTCAGAACAGCTAAGGCTGTTACACAGAGAAACCGTTTCTCAAAAATCACACACACACACACAAAATTAGACTGGGGCTCCAGGTGTGATGCACACCTTTAGTCCCAGAACTCAGAAGACAGGGGCTGGAGGATCTCTGTGAGCTCAACACCAGCCTAATCTACATAGAAAGTTCCAGGAAAGACCCTGTCTCACCACCCCTCCTTTATAGCAAGAGAGTATCTAAACATTATTTTAAATGCTTGTGTGTGTGTGTGTGTGTGTGTGTGTGTGTGTACATATGCCACAGTGCGTGTGTGGAGGTCAGAGGGTAACTTTTGGGGTAATTCTCTCCTTCCACCGTGTGTCCTAGAGATCAAACAGGACCCCAGGCTTAGCAAGGAGCACATTTACCCACTGAACTATCTCACCCACTCCCCGAATATTTTCTGTCACAGCTGATTGAATGTATTGATTCGGAATCCACAGACAAAGAAGACTATATGTAGGGTATCTGCATATCATTGTCTTAGTAAGGGATCCAGTTGCTGTGAAAAGATACCATGACCACAGCAGCTCTAATAAAGGAAACCATTTAATGGGCTGGCTTGCAGTTTCAGAGGTTCAGTCCATTATCATCATGGTGGGACATGGTGACGTGCAGGCAGACATGGTGCTAGAGCTAAGAGCCTACATCTTCCTTGGCACACAACAGGAAGTGAACTGGGACACTGGGTGTGGCTTGAGAGTATGTGAGACCTTAAAGTCCGCCTCCACTGTGACACACTTCCTCCAACAAGGTCACACCTACTCTAACAAGGCCACACCTCCTAAAAGTGTCATTCCCTTTGGGGGCCATTTTCATTCAAACCACCAG